AAAAAGAAAATAACGGTAGTGAAAATCAGTCCAAAAGAAGAAACGGGTACTAATATTTTAATTAAAAAATTGTCTTTGCTATGTAACTTTGAAAGGACAACTGTAAAGTGTTGCTCTGTACCTACAACTCTCTTCACCACAACTTAACAGAGCAGTAAATCACCAGAACAGGGGAGCAGACTTTTAGGTTTTTTTTCTGGTAAATGCTTATTCTTTTCTTCTACATACATGCCACATACTCAGGATACTTTGTAATATTAATGGGCACAGGTGATGGAATCAGTATTTTCTCCACTATACTGGGCTATATATTCCTAAATAGTTGAGCCCAGGTGCATGTCCTAGATTCCAGTTACAGGTGCATGTCTTACTCATGTCCTTACTCAACTTTGGGGCAAGACTGAGGTGCACAGCTTCCTTCTTTTCACCACATTCTTGAGATCAGGAAGAAAAGGCTAAGGGTGACAGGAGGAACTTGGCCAAGTGCCCAATCCATCCACATATACTACAATACTTATGTAGCCAGTGTGACATAAAATACATTGGAAAGGGCCACAGATGTTGAATTAGCAACTTCTTCATTAAGATCCATTCATGGCTTCCAACAACTAAGTTGAATAATAGAAGATCAAAAAAGCATTCCTGCTAACTGTGCTGTCAAAGAGGATTAGAAATTGGGAGATGTGCAAAGAAAAATTGTTTCTTAAGCTCTTCAGAGCTTTTTTTTTTTTTTTTTTTTTTTTAATCTTCAGGAATCCTGCATGTAATTTTCTCGAGTAGGGCCTGCAGGAAGCACAAGCTACCATCATCCATTCATGGCTTCTCTCTCTGTTATGAAATACTTCTACATGCTTGTGCTAATTCCTTCTGAGATAATGGCAGCATATAAAATTATCACTTCTTCTCTTTCATTTGAACTCCTTAAAATTAAATCACATAACTGTCAGTAGATTTTACTGAAGCAACAATTTTCAAGCAGAGACCTCAATGACTTCAATGAACGTTAAAAGCCAATGAACCAATAAAACATATGCATCAGGTTGTACCACTCTTCTTACTTAATTTCCGTTTATATCCACAGACCTTCACAGAAGTGACCTACAAGAAGCAACTCCAAGTAATCCTATTTACGTGCTTAGGTTAGCAGGACCAGCAAAGAAGCCCTACAAACTCGCTCACAGCAACGTTAGGGGCTCCAAAGGAATTTCATCAACACAGGGACCATTAGTTCCATTAGAGGAACAAAAGAGAATCTTTTTAGGAGGGTATCATTGCTGATTGCTATACAATGCAGACACCTCTCTGCCAGTGCTGTGATGAGCAAAATGATGTTAGTGAGATCAGAACTAAAGCACAAGATTATTTTTATGAAGGAAATATGTCACTTCTGTTTCTCGGTTATATTAGCCTCAAGATAGTTTTAAGTACATTCTCTGGAAAATTATCATGCAACAGATTTGCTGCTTTGTGACAATATAATGATTTTATCACTCCTAAATTTCCTCTTTACATTGGAAAAGAAGAGAAAATCAACACCACTATTTTACTCCATCTATCAACATTAAAAATACCTTATTGGGATAGCTTTCCAAAATGCTTTTCAGAGGCACCAATTTAAATTCGACCACAGCTGCATAATTTATTATTATTATTATTATTATTATTATTATTATTTACTGGATACAACATACAGAATCATAGAATCATTTAGGTTGGAAAAGACCTTTAAGATCATCGAGTCCGACCATAAACCTAACACTGCTAAGTCCACCACTAAAGCATCTCCCTAAGTGCCACCTTAGTGTACTTCGGATAGGGAAACAGGGTAAGAACAAAACAGTCTCAAAAAAATCTGTATATTAGAACCTTTTGAGTAAAAAGCTACATTTTGACCAAAGAGAAAAAAAAGCATTCACAGAAAGATCTTGCCCCAGTTCCTTAACCACTTTTTAAACAAAGAAGCTTCTACATCCACAAAGCTTTTTCTTTTTATTCTTTTTTTTTCCTCTGTCTTGCATTTCTAATTGAGCTGGAAAATGATGCACGTAATCTGAAAATGTACGTCAGTAACAAAGCCAACACCCTTCCCTGTGAGAGGAGGATTCTTCACTTACCGTGTGCCGCCCCACATCATGGAGTCAGGCACTGCAAATGTGACATTAGCAGCTGACAAGAAAATTATTCTTTCTCTTTGATCCAAATACATGAGGGAGAGGGATGAATTACAGATTTGCAGGAGGTTTACCACATTACAGTAGGCATAAAAGTTTGAAAGAATATTTTCACTATTGTCACTAGAGTTAAGTATTTGTTCGTATTTCAGATACACATAAAAAATTAACAGAAACTGGTATTTTCAGACACTTGGGTATAAGAGAGAAAATTTTTACACTTATTTTTAGGGAAAAATTTGTTTACCTTTTCTTGCTACCATTGCCTCAAGGTTGGAAAAGATGTGAGCAGGTTTTTTTTACTTCAATGAACAGTCTCTATGTTAATTCAAGAATAACATTATATGGATACTGTTATACAGGAACTGACTAGATATTTGGGTTAACATCTATGAATCTGTGTAAATGAACAAAGGACTCAAAAAAAGCAACATGTTACCTTGGCAAAACACTTCACTGGAACATATGGGCCTAAATTTGATCTGAGACAATTAAAACTTCATCTGTTTCATTTTACTTTTTCAGTTGTACCACCGTACGAGAAGAATCAGGCACATCAAGCAAAATGTATACATACAAATTCATCTACCTGACACTACAAGCATTTCTTGAGTAAGCACAGAGGACACATTCAGCAGTTCTCACCCTTTGCATGTGGATGCAGTGTTTTAGATAGTGGGGTTTTTTTTAATCTCTGGCTGTACACTATCTGCACTGCCCGCTGGAAAATTGTCTGTCCACATAGTATTCTCCATTACTGATTTCTAGTTTTAAAGTGTGTAACAGGTAAGTAAAATCAAATACCCTTCAAATAGTCTATTTTGATGGCATAATTGCTACTGTTGTCGCAGTGATCTTGCATCCTTGTAGGTAAAGAACCATGGACAATGATTATAGGAATCAGACTGTGGGGCATAAACATAAAAATGTTTAAGAACCCTTGTTTTAAAACTACCATTTGGATTATGTGGTGTTTGTTTTATTCTATTTATTTGTTATTTTATATAATGTACTCATTCCTCAAATTCTTTCCCCTTTCTATTTAAGAGCTGGATTATTGCTTCTAGGCACATTCCCTTTCTCCTTACCTGTGAAGTACATAAAGCCTCCGTTCTTGCCAGCCTGCATTAAACACTGCAATACAATTATCCTCAGTCATTGGACTGTTATCTCAGGGAATTGAATTAGACTTTCTAGCTTAGAGAACATCAAATTATTTACACAAAATGTTATAGTTGAAACAGATCCAGTTTAGAGTATTATATGATGGTTAGGGTAGTAAAGACTAAAAAGATCAGGTCACTGATTTAAAACAGAACTAAAAGTTGAATCTGAATCTGAGGGTAGCTGTTGAGTCTTATCAAGCAGGCTACTGCCTATTCAGAAGCATGGAAAATCAGTTTTCCATTTAGCCTTGCCTCTAAGTTCCAGCTGTAAAAGTTTGCTCGAGAAAGGTTTTTTGGGGACTGATAGCAGTTCTGTGGAAAGTTTCAGTGTCAGTTTTTCACAAGTACGAACCATCAGAATTTTTGGTTAAGAAATATAAAACAGCCTTAGATTGATGTTCAAAACCACCCCTGATAAGTCCCTTCTGTTTTGGTACTTGAACATAATGGTTACCTACAGAGGCAGAAAGGGAAGTGTTCAGGAAATCACAGAATCATATACATTGGTTCTTTTCCTGAAAAAGGTGTAATGTATTTAATTTCTCTCTCTCTTTCAACACAAACCAAAAACCTCTGAGATCTTGTCTCAGAAAAAGACTATCTTAATTGGCTTATTGCCCTTATAGCTGAAACACAAAATGATTAGTTAGCACGTGCTATGCATTTTAAATTGATATAGTTTGTCACAATTATTATTTAAGATTACTCTGTCAAGAGTATGTCAATATATTTTTCATCCATGAAGGCTTTATGATATATAGTCCTGACTGTTCTAAGCGAAACCTGATTACAATTTAAATTTACGTTTTTATATATCTGGATTGTACTTGCATTACCACTCTAAAATGTGACAAGAAATCAACATGGAACAACACGACATTACCAAAGTAAAATACTCTCCATTAGGCATACGAGTTTTCCATTAGTACTTACCCCATACCTAGATGTAATTTCTTACCTCCACCCTCACCCTCCAATGTGTTCCCACCAGTGCCCATTCACCATTCACTCCCCTGACCATGAAAGTCTTCCCATCAAACACAAGGAAAACTGTTGCACCAACCCGCCCGCAGGTCTGAATTTAGAGGGTCAGTCACTTTTCACGTGCATCTCAAATACATGCCGTTTTCAAGCAGCCTCCCACCAAGGGCAGCTTGTGCCACATCTGAAGTGGAGCCAAGAGGGAGCGAGCACCGCTGCCCCTCTCCCGGGGGTCCCTGAGCAATCCCAGGCCCCCTCCCGTGTCCTGCTCCCCGGGCATCGCCGAGGACCCTCAGGCCAGGGGAGGCCCTGAGCCAAACTTGCTCCCCACTGGAATCACAGCAAAACTCAGCTGAATTCAGTGGGATGGAAATGAGCCCAAAGGATGAAAAATACAAAGATAATGCTGTGGGATGCTCATGTTGGATAGTTTCTTCTGAATTTAAAGTGAGGAAAAAATGAAGGGAAAGGGAAAAATGTCATGACAGTTACAAGATGCTATGTTTTCCCTTCCTGAAACAAGGAAGTTTTCACTTCTTTCCCAGATAGAACTGCAGTGTCTGTTGTCATTACTCTTCTTTTTTATTATTTAAATTAACATAATTTCTGAGAAAAGTTTCTTCCCTTTTTCCCCATATACAGGCTAAAATATAAACAGGTAGAGATAAGTATAAAATCCAACCTTTATTCCACTTTGAACAAGCTTGTGTATATCCAAAAAAGGTTCCTTGAGTATGTTTCCTTCTGGACTGAAAATCTTCACATATCCTTCTTTCTCAAGAATAAACAGGCGATGGGATCCATCCCCACAATGTACTGCTCCAACAGGCTGCCTTAGTCCACTCACAACCTCCTGAATACAGAAGCAGTTGTGCTTGTGTTTTCTAAAAGAAATTAAAAAAAATAGTGAGAAATTTATTCTTTTTTGTAACCATGACACAACAATGTCCCTAAATGATAAAATGATTGTTCTGCAGGGGTATTAAAAATACAGTTCTACGATCCAGAATAAATTATTTCCTTGAATGTATGCAAGCATATAATACTGAAAATCAGTTTGAACTTCACTTGAGCAAAATTTAGTTTGTATACAAGAAAGAGAAAATTAATTCATCTTAGATCTGAAATGTAGAGGAAGTAGAGAAAAAATTTGGTATAAAAAGAGAACAATTTATAAATACAAAATTTGTACCATACAATAAACAGTAAATTCCAGAAATTTGACAAGATTTGGCTTCTAAAACCCATTTAAAAATAATGAACTCATGATAGGGCAATCTAATTTAATTATTTTCACAAAGAAAAATACATGAATTAAATAAATTTAAAATAATGAGATAAATATTTTACTAATAAACTCATTGTAGTTGTTTAGTAATATTAAATCCAGGTAGAAATGACTTCCTAGAACTATGTATGATCCACAGGGTGGACCATAACCAAGATCCATGGGTGGTTCAGACCGGGATTCTAACACCTTTTCAGAAACACAATATCAGATGGTACTGAAATATTGAAGTTAATGTAACTTTCTCTTTTGACGTACACTAGCAGCAGCAAAAGAAAGTAACATCTGGAAAACACAGCTGCTGAGCATAAGCACACACTGAGCTGTTTCACTGTGAAAACCACAGGCTTTGCTAGGGTTTTTTTTTCAGATTAAACAGCATTTATCTTTATGAACCTGCTGATCTCTTCCTCTTTGTCGTACTCTTCCATGTGGTCCAGGGAGTTAGAAGCTGGCCCTCGCACTTGTTTTCTTGGAAAATCTGGAAAGCATACACCACCATCTTTTCTTGCATAGTAAAAGCAAAACTCATCAGCTGTAGTTTGGAGAAAACCTTAAAAATGCAAAAGAGCATACAAATATTTAGTGTGTTGTCATGTCTGCAGTTTTGTGCCATCAAACTAACCTTTAAATAGATTATATATTGAGTGGAAAAAGAAATAATTTTAAACAAAGTGCTATCTGTGAAAAAGGCCTGCTCTGAATAAATACAAAATGAGTATTACCTTTTATAGTCTATTCATCTGTATTTGTATTAAACCTTATTTTCAGTGTGCTTAAATAAAAATACCAATTAATTCAAAATGACACTACAGTTAACTCATTAAAAAATTAAGAGACAAAGTTTGGAGTTGAGGCTCTGATACACTTTGCCCTGATTTTAACCCTATTAATCAAATGTAGTATCTGCTGTAAAATAGCTTGAGCAGCTTTCATTTCACTTTTTTTTAAGTGTCTTGTTGTAAAGACTTCGGTAAAAGACATGCAGTAAAGACTTTGTAGAATGCTGGCAGCAAAGGACATCAGTCGGAGAGCTGGATAATTACTTGTCTCAGAAAGCGAGAAGTACTGCTGAAAACTGCACCATGTTGACATGCAGCTGGCCTCTGGTTGACTCCCAGCATTAGGGTGGGTGAACACAGTGTCCCATTGCGAGGTCTACTTCCCTGAAAAGGGGGATATGCCTCATGCTGAATTGGAGCTGGTTTTAAGCTGGCTTGGATGAAAGGTGGTCTTTAGGTTTTAGGTTAAAATGGGAAGGAGTTCAAAGACCCAGGGAAACAAGAAGTTGGTAAAATGAGAGCCTTTGAGGAAAAACCTGCCACTACTGATATTACGCTATGTCTAATGACAGCAAAAATATCTATTTCTGTCCACAAACCTATTTCTAGTCATTTCTATCCATTTTTCAATCATTAGTATTAAATCTAAGAAGATAGAATTTGGCTAGTTATACATGTACTATTTTACTAAAACATTGTTAAGATAGTATGTCTCAAGTTACCTTCATTCCTCTTTGCATTATTGGCATACCGTGTTAGTATGTACTATAGTCCAGGACATAACTCATAGGATACATAGAATTAGCACTTAATTGGAATTAGAGGCCTAATTTATGCATGGCTTTACCACTTGCGAATAATGCAGTAATCCACAGATCTTGGCCATAAAACCTCTGGCTTACAATGTGCAAGAAGAGCTGATCAGGGAAAGCTGTGTTTCATTGGAAAATGCCAATTTCTTAAAAGCAAAGCTTTTTCAGAAACATTATCAGTTTTGACAAAATTTTAGTTACCATGATGCTTCTGGTCCAAACTCAAACTTCTAGTCTAAATGAAGAAGAGAGAAACAGACAGGAAACCTCGTATCACTATACTCCAATGTCTTGTAATTAGGGTGTTTCATTAGGAAGAGGAATATTCAGGTCAATGCCCCTCATCTGTCAGGCAAGAGTTTGACCCTAAGTCTCCCATTTCCCAAGTAAATGTCCTAACAACGACTTTATTAGCTATCCTGGGGTGGTCTCTCTGTGGCTTTCTTCATGGAAAATTTCGAAAGAGTTCAATTTCTTCCTTATGTGGAATAGGAAAATTTTTTAGATCCCAGAATTTTTGTGGAGTGGAAAGCCTTTCCCACCCAACTATACTTCTTTTTATATGCATCTTCCTTTAAAAATATTGGAAAAATAACACGACAAAGCCTGCCTTTGGTTTCTATAAAATAATATCTGGAAACACATGGTAGTGTGTTGTGGTGTAAAAGTTTAATTACCATGATTTGGAGCTTCAGTAAATATCATCTCTGAGGAGCTGGTTTTAATTTATAGTAGTTATTTGGAGAAAATGGGAGATATAATTTCAAGTGGAACAACTGAAAAGGAACTCTGATATAATCATGGAGTAGTATTCCAAGGCTAGATATAATGCCAAAAGCAAAGGTAATCTAAAATCTTGCTGTTGAATTATTTGACTTAAAAAGACACAGTTTTGTCTTTAATAATTTATTTCTCTAGACGCAGCGGGTCATTCGAGAAAATGAAATAGCAAATTAGAGGTGTACAATTTCTAATACTTTGTAGAATTTTCCAAGTATACCATCTGCTATTTACTAAAGATAAACTAGTCTTGGCTTGAATGTTATCTTTAGTCAGAAAAACAGAGCATATCATGGCCATATTGTTTACTCGGTACATGTTCATTTGAAGTAACAATCAGATGCAAACTGTTATATATCCTAGATTCAACATACTAACAGCTTCAGTAAAGATCGTTAGCAAAACATTTGCTCCGCCTCCCCTATCTGTTTGTAGCCATTTAATGTTTTCTTTATCGTGCTTAGATTGTAAGGTCTTTAGGTGTAGAGTTTGCCATTTTGTTCAGTGTTTGTGCAGTGTCCAGAAGAATGGTCCCTGACAAGTGCCTGTAAGCACCAGAATTCTTGGAGAAAAAAAAAAGATCATTTTGCTCAGTCTGAGTTTATTCAAATACAGCTCTGTCACTGTCCTCTATGAAAACTATGCCTAATAAGGACAGCAATATTTGGTCCTGTGTGAATTTCTGTACTTATTACTTTATTTTAAAAGACTCATACATATCATTACAAATTTCCTACCAGCTGTGTATGTGTTGACAAAGCAGTGCCCACGTTAACAAAGAAAACTGAAATCACAAAGGAAGATTAAACATCACGTTTAAGTGTAGTACATGTCAGATTTTGCACAGGCTTGCATTTCTAAGCTTTTAAAACTTTCTGTCTTGCAAACCAGAATCAAACTACAGACTTTTCAGTTAAGGCAGTTACAGTGAAGGCTTTCTGTGTTTGCCTTTATAAAAAACTGTGGGAATAAGCTGCATGATTTCAAGCCTTTTCAAAGGAAAACTTCTGCTCTCAGCTGATCCTCACCTCCTCTCTCCACTCATATTTGCAGTCAGTTATTCCTCATACCATATCTTCCTTCCTATCCTACCTTCACCAAATTCCACTTTGCTGGATTCCCTGCTTACCCACCCCCCTGCCTCTTCTCTTTGATGTACAACTCAGACGTTGTGGTAGCATTTGTCCCGGTCTTTACAGCAAGTCAGGCTCCTATTCAGTCCCTTCCTTGTTTGCACTGCACACAGGACTGACTATCATCCACTCATCTGAGTAGACCTGCACTGGCTTAGAGAGCATCTGGAAATCAGGCTCACCTGCTTTGTTCCTGCTATGACCTTGAGCATACAGTTCAGTATTGTGTAAAAGAAGCATTTTCCTGGTTTGCTTATTCTTTTTCTGATTTGCACTTTTGACAGCTAGATGTAAATTTGTTCACAAAAACCACATTGTCCACTCTCTTCTCAACTCTCAGTGAAAAATGAATCAAAGAAGTGATTCCAGACTGATTGTTTCAAAATGTACTTGACTGTAGTCGACTATGTTAGAACTTCTGGAAGTGTTGTGTGGGTTGCAGAATTTCTTAAGATTTCCAGCATTGTGGGCTGGGGTGCCCCTGTTTGGAGTTAAAAATTCAAATCAAGCGTCTATTCTGGTAATGCCTGGATTCAGATCTGGGCCTGGATCTGAATTCACCCACAATCATCTGGAACCCATTTCTTCAAATGAAAATAATGGAGAGCACATAGTTCAAAATCTGTCTGATGTCCTTGGATGGCAGAACGTACTGTGGCTGTGGCAAAGGTTTGTTCCCTAGAATATGTCACTTCCACTGGCATGGGTCAAGTTTCTGCTCATGCTGAAAGGCAGAATCAGCCATGCCTTTCTTTACTAGCTATATTAATAATAAATATTAGACAGTCTTCTCTTATGACCTTGGAAAACTTAAAATTCATATCGATTGAAGATACTCCATTAAGTCACTTAACTCCAATGTCTCCATCAGTAATCACTTAAACTAAGGCTTACAGTAAAGATCAGATGAGAAATAATGAGAACAGTCACCTGGGATGAAGCAGGGAAGTTCTAATCTCATGGATTTTGTGAAACATTACACCCTCCTGCATTAACATATCCATACAATCTTAACAGCTATTTTTATTACTCTGTTTGAATAAAGAATCAGGTCCAGTTTTTCTTTGGATACTCCTAAAGGAGTCAATGGAAGTTCTGATACAGTCATAACTGGTGGGAAACTGCTGCCTTCAAAAGAGTTAACCAAGGATCTGCTACAGTTTTCATCTTTGCAAAAAGAGACAGAACAATAAATGAATTTCTGGAGCTAACTCACGAAAAGAACTGACGTATAATTTCTCAGTCTTCTTGGTTAATATGTACTGCTAAAATTTCAATTCCAGAAAAGATGCTTGCTGTCTTAAATCGCTAATAATATTTCTCATTTGTGCAGGACTGAAGGGATAAAATTATTTTTGTAGTCAGCAATTTCCTTAAACTCCTTTGTATTGGTGTTCAGAAACAATTAGCACTCCCTAATGGAGGAAGAATAATTATCTGACTTTTTAACAAATGCACAGTGAATCATTGCCAGAGACCTTGGGTTTGGGGGCCTGTTACTTTCCAACTCTTTGTTTAATCCTCCAGGCTAAGCTGAAAACATAGCTTCCACATTTTCTATTTTTTATTTTCTTTTACAATAAATATTTTTATGGATATACGGGTCTCACAAGTAAAATAGAAAACCCACATAAGTTGTTACTTTAATAATTTATATTTTAGAATGTATATGATTATTAAACGATATAAAAATCCTACAGACCATCTTCTCAAAAAGAGGAACCTGAATTTTACTTAATTAATACCTTCAGGAAATCCTAGTATAGGTATCAATAACCATATGTACCAGTCAAGTCACCAAATTAACCCTGTTGGTGGATGTAAGTACACAACAACTTCTTGTTAGTACAACCCACTTTCAGAACAAGTATTTAGAATGATTATTAGCATCTGATTGATGTAGGAAAAATCCTATTTTAACTGACGCTAAAGTATGTAAGCTCTTTTCCTGCAAAGCACAGTGCTCTGTCCAGTGCTAAAGTTATGCTTTCATCTGGTTATCTTTCAAGGCAACCTGGGTGGTCACAAAAAGCACTTGACATCTTGATGCACTTCAGCAGTTTTACATATACACAAACTTTGTAGAAAAATAAATTTGTCATTCGTCACCACATATGTTGATCTGAGGAGTGAGGTTCCTGTGGCTATAGCTCCTGTGCTGCTCAGCCCTTTCTCATTCTCTCTCCCTCCCTCCACGTCCTCCTTCTTTCTCCCTTTTCCCTCTTTCATTTTTCCCCATTAAACAAATTGTTTCCTCAGAAACACAGAACTTCATAAAACAACTATGAGGGACTTGATCTGCAGAATATGCTAATCGTTTGCACTAGCTACAAACTCATGTCAAAAAAAGTCTTTGTGCTGACTTCTTATATGGGCCAAACATTTAGAGTATCTAATCTGTTATCGCTGTTCAGCAGGCAGTCTTGGCAACTGTGATCTATTCTGCTTTGCTTTGGGGAATGTGATAAAGAGCAAGAAACAGCTGGTTTAAGAAAGCCTTAGAAACATCTCTTAGTTTATAAAGACAATAATAATATTTTCATATTTGAATGGGTTGAGATACATGTTAAACCACAGTAAAGGGAAAATGTAAGTCAATTCAAAATGTTTTCTCAAGTCAATGAAAGAACACTGAAAAAAACCCCTGCACTCTTGGGATTTCAGAGAAAACAAGTACACACTGTACACATGCAATTAAAAAACCCTCCTCCAAATCTCATCCACTTAAACTACCCCCTTTACTCAAATTATTACAACACTGTGTTTGTATGTCAAAAATGACTATTCACAAATTCATTTTCATATGGTTATCAACTCTTTTTTCCAGTCTGTGTTGCTAGTAAAAAAAAAAAAATCTTAACCAGTTTAATTATTTTCTCCTGTGTGGCATTAGTTATAAGTAGTGTTTGGACAGGGAAAAAAAGCATAGTTTACAAATGACAGTCTTAAACATATAAATAATTTACTATTGAGAATACCAAAGATGTTATTTAATATAATAGTGTACTAAGACAGTATTTCTAAAAGAACCATCTTCTGTGGTTATTTTATTGATATAGTTACAAGTGATAGCACTCATTTGGTGAGTGCCTTAGACAACACAGGTCAAAATTTGGTTTTGGATGTCCAGCTAACTCTACTGACTACAGTGAGGAAGTGTTAGGTTAGTTAAGAATTTGGTTGTTAACAGCATGTTGGAAGTGATTCAAAGATAACAGAAGTCTATCAAATAGCTCCCTTTGATTTCAATGGGCTTTAAACCCGGTGGAAAAAACATCAGTTTCTAGGGTAACAAAACCAGAAAAAACACTTTACTCATCAGCTTTTAGAGTCTACAGCAAACAGCCAGCATCCTTTATTTGTTGCATTTTAAAGCTATCTATCATTTAGAATAGCCTTTTGGATGGCCAACTGCTTGTTTACATGATTTGAATGAACACGCCAATATTTCAGCAAAGGTCATAGTTTCAGGTGCCTTTGACAACAAACAATCCTGTGTTTCATGGGGAGTTTTAGTAGGCAGGTGGCAAGAAAGCGCTCAAAATATTTACCTCACTGCATAAGATCTGCTGTGAAGACCCTGAGATATTCTGCTTTTGCTTGGGGAAAATCCCCTGGATATCAATGGGGATTGTACCTAGCGAAGCGCTAGATCTATAACCGCTCAGGCAATATCAACATTTCAAAACAGACATCCTTTAGCCCCGTATTTTGTTATAGGTTTTACCTGGTATGTGACCTCTGCAAGTATAATAGAATTCTTTACAATAGTCTTTGCACAGGTAGGGAAGAGTTAGTTCTCTTTCAGGTGTTTCCCCTTTCTCAGGTGAGTGGAATAGGTTCTGAGCATGAGGTGAGCAGTGTGCACATTTGATTTCCTCCAGTAGCTTCGCACATTCTGTGTTGTTGGTAACAGAAAGTATCTGTAAGCCACAAACCAGAGAAAAATAAACATATGACCTGTATCCCCATCTTACACACAAAAAAAGATTGCATGACCTAATGTAATAAATAATGCCAGCAGAACCAATACAGTTAGTATAAATGCATTGTGTTTCATATCACCCTTCCGGAAGTGCAAAAATTATTACTATGAAATGTGTAATATGTCATTAGTACAGTGAGATTTTAAGCGCTTGCTTCTCCTTCTCACATAAGAATAATAGTACTCAAGTTATTTGATGGACTCAAGCCCGCAATCTCTTAATCACATAGGCAATCTCTGAACTAGAGGGATCATTTATATAAGGAGGAGCTACAGCAGCAGGCCTTCTACCCACTTCTCTTATGAGAGACACTTAAAAACCTAACTTGTAAGGTGACCTATTCAGGTATTTAGAGACTAAAAACTAAAATTCTACCATCAAAACACATCAGGAAAACCATATCTAGGTATTTGTTCAATAGGTGTATCGTGAACGATACCACAGTCCAGCTGCTGAAGTGACTGCTGCAGAGTTCAGCAGGTGCCTTGGATTTTTCACGCTTTAAAAGCTGCTCTGCTTTTTGTTCTCTCTAATGCAAACTACTTGGAAGCGGGAAAAGCTGTGTGTTTTCAGACATTTCTCTTTATAAGTGAAAAAGTAGAATTTGTTCGTAACATCTTGTTTGTCTCAATATTGAAACTGTAACTTTGTCCTGAAAAAAGAGCATATATTATGCATAGTACTTGAAGAAGCATGAAACCACGATTGATGATGTGTTTAAGTAAACACAGGAGCCTAAGGAGCGCAATGTCATCAAATCGTGAAAAATAATGGAAAACAGCATACTCGTCTTTATTAGTCTTTGAATGCAGTGCACTTTGTTAATCTATTGTTAACCACATGGATTGTTTTTTGATCATTCAGCCCAATGGTGGGTAGTGGGAAATGTGTTCTCAGTTGAGAGGGACTGAATCTGATCCAATGCAAAACCAAAGCGCAGGTTCTTTCTGCTATTTGTTTAACACAGTTATAAACAAAGACTGTAAGACACTTATGTTAAGAAATATTAATGCAGTAAATATTTGTATTCTGCAAAATTTGTAAAAAGCGCATTTTTTATGAAATTATGAAAAGATTACACAGCTTTACTATAGTTCATATCTCTGAGTTGATTTGTAGAAGGACTTTCCAATGTCATTCCCACACAACGTAACATTGAAGGGAATTATCTAAGTTAGTTTTGATCAAATGAGTTATTCAATGCATGAAGGCTCTTGATATGTTTGAGTATGCTGTCTCATAAGTCGGCTGTCTTCTAGGATGCAGTACTTCGATAACACTGTTCTGAACTCAGCATTTTATTTACAGATCATAATTACATAAACCTCAAACACTTGAGAGAAATGCATTCTCTACTGTTTTAAACAGATAGGTAATCAAAATATTACACAATATATGGCCTGTACAGTTACACATAATCCTACTTAAAGGAACCTTAATTTAGAAGACAAACTCTTTCCAGGAAAATTTAGTCTTACCATACATATATGGTCAAAAGGCCACCTGAAACGGGTACTAAAGTTTAGTGGCGTAAGTTAGACCACTGATTAGAACACCACCATTTGGCTTCTATCCTTATTCTGGAAGAGCTGCCATTGGCTTCAAAAAGAATTTCTCCAGGTTTGCCAGGATCGTTAAATGCATTAAGTGTTCTGTTCTTTAGACCACCTGTTCTCAGACTATCCTCGGCTTCCTAGCACCTGCAATTAAGTACTGTGACTAACATCTGCCATGTATGGTTTATTATCTCTCTTCAGACCCTTCTTGGGAATATAATTGTCTTACATCTTCTTTTGGAAAGGGTTTGTCATCTTTTTTTTTTTTAAACCTTGAAGACAGTAATCACTTAATTGCATGTTGCATCTATGGCAAAATGTTTGCACTGGCCCTGAATTCTTTGGGGAATTCTTTCCACAGCCCCAGCCCCTCCTCTCCCGAAAAAATTTAGATTCTTTTTGCTACATTGCTCATTTGGGCCATAGCAGAAGAACCGTTAACCTTAGTGTTCTTCCTTGAGTTTCAGATGTTGCTCTAGCTAGATATGGTAGATCTGGGGAAATATGCCTTGAAGGCAAGAACTAAAAATATAACTACAATAAACGATAACCAAAATACTTAATAACTAAAACTTTGAAATTGACTTAATACTGCCTAGGATTGCAATCCAGGTAGTAGAGAACAGGCTTTATACACTTGAAGTAATCCACACTGCTGAGGCAATCTTCTGCAATAGCTAGACTTTCTTAAGGGATGATGGCATCCTGACCTTGGTACTTTGTGTTGCTGTGGTTCTGATGGGAAGTGGCCTGAATAATTCAGTCAAGTCATTGCCTGCCAAATAGAACAAAGTCTGAAGCCAACAGGGGACGATCGAAAGCACTGTCCATAAATGCTACTTTTAAAGAACATTATGTCACCCAGAAGCTGGGAGCTCTCCTAAAGTAAGGATGAAATGACCTATTTGGGTGTTTCCACCAAAGGGAAGTGTACCATGACTCTTCAAAGTACTTGCCTACATTCAGTAGTATCACCTGCTTTGCAAAAGTCTCGGATGTTTTCATCAGGGAGTTGATCGATCTCAGGCAGCAGGCTTTCTAGTGGTAGCAGTATGATGGTGTGTTTAGAAGTACAAGTAAACACGAGGTATTACTAGGTAAATATTCAGTGCGTTTATTGAATTAACTCCACAGTAATGCAGATAGAAAACTATACTTGTACTGGAAGACTCCAGAACACATTGTGAACAGGGGAAAAAAAAAAATAAATTACAGGATAGCAAAGCTAATTTACTGTTTCTTGTGGAAAACGTAATTGACGTTGCCTGGTGATACAGGAGAAGTAATGCTTGCCAACATTTCAGTCCTCAAAGTTAAGACAAAAGGATCCTAATCCCCCTGAGCAGCTGCTATCCAGGAATTGACCACAGGAATTCACCCCCTCATGTCATTTCTGGAATGAATCTTGGTCATATAATAGCTAATCGGAAGATTAAGGAATGAGAGTCAATCAATTATCTGAAAATCAAGTACAATGTTATTTAACTTTTAGAATGCTCAAGCAAAACAGGGCGGTAACATTTGCTCTGTGTGAGGTCTGATGTATAACTCTGTCCTGGCTGGGAGATAGGACAACCATTCTATTCTGAATTTTAGTAAATCAATAATGTATTTATCCTGGAGTATATTAAACCAGTTTTAAGCGAAAGCTGAAATACTTATTTGAATGAAGCTTTTTCTTTTGGATCCTACTTTGAAAATGACCTTAAAGTTGACAATGGCTTTGGTCTTTTAAAGAAATGTAAACTAATTTCCTGCTTCAATTTTTAAAGTTGTATGTGAAACCATCAAACTGCAGTGGTTTAAACTAACTGTGCTCTGGAAAATATGTAAAACTTTCAAACATTTATTGCAACATGCCTAATAATGATTATGCCTGCTGCTGACTAATTTACAACATCTGTAAGATCATCCTTTAATCTCTAGCCACATGAAAGTAAAACGGGTAGACTAAAGGTAAGATAAATCCTGGAATGCGCAGGAAAGCATAGCATACTAAATTGGTTTATCAACAAAAAGAATAGTGCAAAGAAGAAGAAACAGAAGATGACACAATAGACAGAAATTCTTTACATTGAATATTGTCATTTGTACTCTGCCATACCTAGTTTGAGAAAGGCAGTATAATTTTGATGTTCATAGAAAAAAAAACCAAACAGTGAAATAAGTCATTGCATTAAGCCGTATTTGATATACAAGCATTTATGTCTAAAAATCATATGCTTATGAGATTGTTCAGCTGTTGGGTTGAACATATGCTTCTTCTGTGTTATAGTGCTGGATTATGTCATTAAAGAGTTCGGTTTCAATTTTAGGGTAATATGTAAATAGATCATTGTACTAAGGCAGCTGTTAAAGGGACCCCAAGATGAGTTATTTGTTTAGTTGGATGTGTTCAACAATAGCCTTTGTTCGTGAAAGAGCCAGAGCAAACAAATGATTGTAAAAGGGCACACTTGAAAACAATTACTTTTCACCC